ATTTCCTTTGTGAAGTAACGGGCGCAAACCATGCATCGGAATTTTATCGGACGAGGATTTGTGTGAATTTTCGAATGAGCCTTTAGGTTGCATCGTACTGTAAATCTCTTGGAGTAAACGCTGCATCGGAATGGCCGATCGCCACTATGCCCACGCATGTGCACCTTCAAGCTGAACTCAATCAGAGTAGAGTACTGCTTGCACAAATGGCATTCGAAGTGTCGCCCATTGCAAACATCCTCGTGCACCAGTCTTTCGTCATTCTGTGCGAACCTCTTGAGACAAACTGAACAACTGAACGGATATTCATCGGGGTGTGTTTTCAAATGTGTTTGAAGGTTCGAGTTCGTCGTGAATCGTTTGTTACAGATATTGCATGGAAAAGGATTCTCGCCAGTGTGTTTGAACATATGCCTCTTCAAATTGGATGGTCTTGGCGCAACATATCCACATGTTTGGCACTTGTGCTGTTTCTTGGCCCTTTTTGCCGCTGACTGTTTTCTATGCGCAGCATTGATCACCGCTTTAGCTCTACCCTTCATAGCAATGCTCTTTTTCCTCAAATTTCCATTCGATGACCTCGGCACCGCATCATCTTTCTTCGACTGTCCTTCCACCTCACGATTTCCATTTTCTTTCTGTGCGTCATTTTTATCTGATCGCTTTCCTTCCTTTGACTTCTGTTCTACTTTGATGTCGGCTTCCACTTCGACTTTAAATTCCGTTGGATACCAATCTTCGATATTCGACTCATTGTTTGCTCTATCGACGCCGAGTTCAACTGTTGAACCACGGTAACGCTGTCGTGGCATGGACACCGCAAGTGGTTCATCGTGATCTTCTGGTTCCACTTTGATCCTAGGCTCTTGTTTAACTTCGACCACTACGACTGCTGCGGCATTCATATCAATAAACGTCCCATCATCGATTGCAGTGTCCATCGACTCATTCTTCGGCTGAACTTCGCTATTCAAGACAAAATCATCCATTGTATGAACAGATACTGGAGATTGAAATAAACGGGCCAAAAATTAATGAAAATGAAAAGAATTTTATGATGCAAAAGGGAATTTTTTTCTTGAACCATTACCGCTTTGCCGTGCATGCTTGCTTTCTTCCGGTTTGACATCAGCATTTTCCATCTTTTCAGCAATTGACTCTGATTCAATATGTGTCAAATAGAAATTCTCGTCGCTAGGCGATCCAACGTTTCGTAGACCATTTTTTGTGTCACCAACCGGCTCCAATTTGACGTCTAGCACATGACATTGGTTTGGAATCGAAACCATGAAAACGTAATCCGTTGCCTCTGGCTCTTCTTTGATATCATGCTCTGGCTTGGAATTAGAATTATTGTCAGCACTGTTCTCGAACTGATTTGGTGTGTGAGTATCGACTTTACCGTCCATTGCATCGCTTGAGTAGTGCCTCATTTTGCCTGGATCATTTGGCCAGCCATTCATCGTGTCAAATGTTGACTCTGCCACAATGGAAATAAGAGCATTCATAAATCGGACGCAATGACGTTCATTTGTTCACGATTTGTGAGTCACAAATGAATACGAAGCAAGGAATCGGAAATTAATCCAATGCAATTAAAACAAATATGAACGCTATTTACCTCGTTTGCCAAATCAGAATATGTTTCGAATCACACCAGAGCCAATCAATCAATCAACCTAACCTTACTTCGTTCCGTGAATGCAAAGTGTCATAGTGAAATGCCAGAAATACCAACCAAATCCAACATCAAATTCGATTATTTTGTTTTCGATTCGCCGACAATGATACAATTGCACAGATTCTTTTCGATAACAAGCAAATAAAAAGTGGTGATTTGAATTTAAGATGATTGAGTTTATGATTTAATTAGAAGAAAAACCACGCGTCTTCAGAACTGATGCAGCTTCCTCCTTTTTACACGTCAACGTGAGTGACAGCATAAATGAATTTAAGCGGCAAATTAGCTGTCATTCGTCAAAGTGAAGGCTTGTTCACACTGATGTTGGAGCTATTGCATAGATTGATACGACAATGATATAGAAAGTGTTTTGAACGCTCTCGAAAACGAAAAATGAGAGAAGAAAATATCTCTGGACATGAATGAATTGTTGAATGTTTTTCAATTTTTCCCAAGTGCAAACAAAAAAAAAATCTTCGAAAACATGCCAAAGCTCTTCAAATTCCTCTGATTTCAAAAACTACAAATTCACGTCTGAAACATTATAATAAGTTGTGAGAGAGAAGCATTGAAAAATAATACACTAGAAGCAAACGATTGCATTTTCTTCTGAATACAATGTTAAAAATTAATTCCAAATTGGTTGGTTTGAATTCAAAAAGTAAAGCGAAAATCCATAAAATTACACATATTATTTTTTTCTCAATTTTTATTCAGAAAACTGGAAATGAATTTTAAGGCAGAAATTTTGGTTTCGATGGAGTTGATTTTTTGCATATGGTCTTCTTCCCAGGTTTTAGATTTTGAAACGTTTATTATTAATGATAATTAAAGAAGAACTGGTGATTAGTTCGAACAATTCTGAAATTAAGTGCTTAGGAGAGTGGAAGTATTTTATTGCTAAGGGCTCCCAACTTCTATCAAATTCATAATTTATTAGATCACTTATGGTTGTGTTTTTGGTGTTTCGTGAGTTCAACTTTCTGTGCGAAGCATTTGTTGCACAATTCACATCGAAATGGTTTGGCGCCGGTGTGATGAATTCGCATGTGTGTCATCAGATTTGATTTATGAAACGTCGAGTAGCTCTTGCACAAGTAGCAATCGTAGCGCCGGCTTCTGCAATTCATTTCATGCTGCTTTTTTTCCATTTCCTTTGTGAAGTAACGGGCGCAAACCATGCATTGGAATTTTATCGGACGAGGATTTGTGTGGACTTTCAAATGAACCTTTAGGTTGGATCGTACTGTAAATCTCTTGGAGCAAAAGCTGCATCGGAATGGTCTATCGCCATTGTGCACACGCATGTGCACCTTCAAATGAGCCTCATTTGAAGTAGAATACTCCTTGCACAAATGGCATTCGAAGTGTCGCGCATTGCAAACATCCTCGTGCACCAGTCTTTCGTCATTCTGTGCGAATATCTTGAGACAAACTGAGCAACTAAACGGATATTCATCGGGGTGTGTTTTCAAATGTGTTTGAAGGTTTGAGTTCTTCGTGAATCGTTTGTTACAGATGTTGCATGGAAAAGGTTTCTCGCCAGTGTGTTTGAACATATGACTCTTCAAATAGGATGGTGTTGGCGCAACATATCCACATGTTGAGCACTTGTGCTGTTTCTTGGCCCTCTTTACCGCTGACTGTTTTCTATGCGCAGCATTGATTACCGCCTTAGCTCTACCCGTCACATCAATGCTCTTTTTCTTCGAACATCCACTCGATGACCGTGGCGCTGCATCACCTTTCGGCGAATGTCGTTCCACATTTCCATTTTCCTTCGATATGTCATTTTCGTTCAAATACTTTCCTTCTTTTGACTTCTGTTCAATTTTGCTATCGGCTTCATCTTCATCTTTAGGCTCTAGTTTGATATGCATTGAATACAAATCTTCGATACTCAGCCCGTTATTTTCCCTATCAACGCTGACTTTAATTACTGAATTACGTTGTCGTGGCACGGAAACCGTAAGTAATTCGTTGTGATCTTCTGGTTCGTTTTTGATAATCGGTTCTTGTTTTACCTTGACCGCTTCTTCTTCTTCTTCTTCTTTGGTGTCAAAAATCGGCCCATCATCTTCGATTGCATTTTCCAACGGCCCACTCTTGCGCTCAGCTTCGCCATCCAGCACAAAACTATCCATTGAATCAACAAATGCTAAGAATCAGAATGGACAATACAGGTTCAATGAAGATGAAATTGATTTAGTAATGCAGAATTTAAATGTCACAATTATCGTTGAGAAAAGCACGAAAAAATACTATGCAAAAGTTGAAAAAGCCAGAAAATATGGAGTAATTTCAAAAAAAAATTACCTTTTCTCGTTGATGAAAAGTTGATTTCCGATTGAGGTTATGTGTGACGTCTCGCTCGGAATATCGGGTTTTGATTACGAAAAAAAATTGTGTTTTCACTTAAATATTTCGATGGACATTGGCCAATTTGGCAAATAAGTAATTCAATGAAGCAAATCGCACAATTGACAAAGTAAAGAAAGTATTTCTGTCGCCGATTATCGAGTGGTTTGCTACTGATACTAAACTAGTACAAGAGTGCCAAGCGATGTTCAAGTAATGAGCTTGAACTCAATCAAATGTCAATGTGACAAAAAGCTTGAAACTTGTTCCGAAAGGCGGCGCTTACACAGCATTCAATTGGATACGTTCAAACTCAAGCGGTTTCTTTAAAAATTCAAAGTTCGAAGTGAAAATCTTTAAATAATAAGTTAAATAAATTGTAAATTATGGACAGCTTTAACAGTGAAAGTAAACAAAACAATTTTCTAGTCACAGTTCAACTAAAAAAAACTAATCATTTTGGCATGGATGGAAAACAGCATCAAAACACAAAAAAAAAATTCTTCAATGAAAAGTTTACTTTGATGAAAATTTATTTCTGGTGTAAACACTACACTATTCATTCATAACATTTGTATTTGTCAGAAATATTCGTCTTCCATAAGGAATTGAAGAATGATTTCATCTTTCATGACTCCAATGGATGAAAAAGTGACAGAATCGTTTGAGCGTTGTTCGCATTCATATGATTTCTCGTCAATAATCAATTGGTTGACATTCAGATAGTTTCAATTTGCAAGAATAGCATTCATTTCAGCTTAATTTTAACCGAAAACTGAAAATTATGTAGCATTTTGGCGATTTGCATTCAATTCATGTATGATGTATACACTGAATCACCCATTGGATGCATCATTAAAAAGATGTGAATTCAATGGAATTCCGAATAGTCAAACAATCCACATCATCTAGTTGAATTCGATGAGTCAGCAGGCCCATGTCTTCATCTTGTTTGAACTTTGTCTGTAGCAAATGCCGTTGGGTTTCGAATGACTTGTAAAGAGAAATGAAAATGATTTTAGTCCTAAAATAATGACGATATTGCAAAGGTCATATTAAATTCCGAAAAAATCCATTTCTAACTAACCTTCTTGATCATATACTTTAAATGGTGTATGGTCTCTTGAAGTGTGTGCAATTCATTCACAAGAGTTTCATGTACTCGATCTTTGCATAGTTCAGTGCCTGGGCGAAGTGCTCGATTCTCTAGTCGATTTTGGCACAACACCAAAAATCTCTCCTTGGCCTCCAATTCAGTTTGTAAATTGATTAAATTTTTCTTGATATCGTTGATTTTCACTTGGGTTTGATTTTGTTGTTCTTCTAATGCGGTTTTTGCGTAAGTCGCATCACCGATTCGCCTGCAAAACTCTTCGCTGGTACGATTCACTTGTTTCGATAACTCCTCTAGCGCTCGACTCAACGAAATGTCGGTGAAGGAACGAAGCTGTTTTGACGATGCGATTTCGTCGGAAGATTTTTGCAAAAGAGTATGAGTCAAGTGTTCCCACTCATTTTGAGTCGTAAAACTGCGAAAAGAGATCAAATTTTTGGATTTTATTCAAATTGAGTTTCATTTGATTTTGATTGAAGTTTTTTCATTTAATTTTTAATCAAAAAAGATTTGAAATTTCAAACTTTCAAAATCATTACTAAAAATGTCTTACACTGGATCCGACTGCATCCGTTTTTCCAAATCGAATTCCATTGCCATGAAATTGGTTCTCAGATCCAAATTATTCCTATCGATTTCCATCGATGTGCTTTTCCGCAATAGTTCACTATCCAATGTGTAAATTACAGCTCGTAAAAGCCTTGACTTTTCAATAAGACGCATCAAAAGTGTGTCCAATTTCTCATAATTGCTTTGCAATACAATTTTTTCATGCGTCAGCTCTCGAAAGACCACATCACTATTTTTAGGAACTTTGTGGCAATCTTCACTCAAAATTGTGTACTGTTTCTGATTCTTTTCTTGAATATCTTTGATGAATTTGATGGCGTTGATAAGACGCTTGCAATATGATTTTACGGCTTCCTCTTCAATAGTCACCTCTTTTTTCTTGCTTACAATTTCATCGGTCAAAAATTGAATATTCTGCACACGTTCCTTGATTCGATAGTCTGACTCCTTTTTGCATTGATCGGTTTTTGCACGTGTTGTGTCTATTACCAGCTCACTTTGCCTGGGAAACGATACAGAAAACGAAGGAATTTAGTTTATTTTTCGTTTGAAATAAATTATTTTGGAGTTTAAATAGCTTTAATCGTTTAATCGATGATTCCATTCATTTAAATAACTTTTATCGATAGATTCAGTCAAATAAATAATCAGTTTTCTATAATATGGACCATTTTCATATTGGAAATAAACAGCTAAACATAAATACGATCGCATTCAGAGAACACCACAACTGAGTAGTTTGACGGTACCTATTTAATACGTCAAGTCTACAGATTTCAGTGGCGAGTTGCGCCCTACTTTATTTGAAAAATTTCCTATCAAAAGGTACAATTTGAAGGACATTTTCCACACTCAATTATTGACTTCGTTCAACTTATTAAGGAAAAACAAATGAATCATGTCATCCTAATTTGACAATCTATAAAATTGAAAGCAAATTATTTAGGTATCTTATTTAAACATTTCGAAAGCATTCACACTCACTTAATCACTTGATCCGTCAGCATTTGAGGATTTTCCGTGTGTTTGCACTTCTCCCCGAACATTTTGCCAGATGTTAACGTTCGACACTTACTTTCAATTTTTTGGAATGTTAATCAATTGCTGATAGGTCGTTGAATTTCTTAGATTGAAGAAAGTTTGCTAATTGAACGATTTTTCAAAAAATTATTCATCTAAATAAAATTGACCTTTTTTTTAAATTGAGAAATCTGTTCGCTAAATCCACTAAAATCGCTAAAAAAAAAACACACAAATCGGTCCAATAAAAGCCGTATATCAGGAACAAACAAATAATTCCTTTTGCAAAATATTCATAATAATTTTACTAGAATTAAAAAAATGCTCTTAAACGAGATAGATTGAAGAATTCTTCCGAATCCCTTGCTATTGAAGTACGAATGATGAATACAGTCTAGTTTTAGAACAACAATTCTTGACCTGGTATTTTGAATGCAATATAGTTAACTCTCGAAAGTGAGTAATGTGAAGCTGGCCCATATTATAACACTTTCTGGCTTTAAAGCATTTTCAATCAGAAAGTATATACATTCCCATATCAAATCTGTTTTCTATTTTGCCATTTAATAAACTAATATCAATACATTTCACTACTTTTTAAACAATAACTCCAGAAAAAAATCACGAAAAATCCAAAAAAAAAATCCTAATTTATATTTGAACACATTTTCAAAATGTATTTTGTTTCCTTTAATTGGACTGATTTCCAAAATAATGAGAACGAGGAAGAGTAATTTCCAGCGGATACTATACCGTCTATTTGGTGGTGGTTGTTTTGGTAACGCTCCTTCAGTAAATACTGCAGTAACAATTTATTAGCGGTTGCCGTTGCTATGGATTTGTTAAATCAATTCCATATGACGAACGGGACAAACGGCAATACCTTTAACGAACAGAGAAAAAATCAACTGGTCTTCAACATTCCACATTTGCTCTATATTTATTGGATTTTTTTTCCCGAAAAAAACCTATAATTGCTTTTTCACCATAATTATAAAAGCAACTCAATGTTTAGGTCAACATGAATGTTCAATTCGAATTTCGAATACAAATTTATTAACTTGTCTGATACAATCAGTTATTAGAAGGAATTAGGATTTGAAAAATATCTTCTTTTAAAAAAAAAAAAATACATTTTCTGGCACATGTATGGTTATGATTCAAATTTAGATATAGCCGAGGAGTAGAATACACGTATATGCATCCAGCAGAATAATCTGTTTTCACTGGAAAAAGGGCTTCTTCTAGGAAGAACATGGAAACAAACATATGTTTTTGGATGGGAATTAACATGTGATGAGAGAACTATCCGTGTGAAGTTCACACCGTGGACATGACATCACAAAAAAATCTCAT